ATTCTTAATTAAAACGGTAGGCCCTAATTATAATATTAAAAGCTTTTTTAATATCTTAATAAAATGTTTTAAAAACCTTAGGAAGTGCTCCTTTAAAAATAATAAGTGCTCGAAATATAAAGTATATAATATCGTTAATAATAAATAAAAAATATTTTATATCGTCGTATCCTTAAATAAGGTACGGTCTTTACGTATCTATACATATTAAAGCTCTAAATTCCTTCTCCCGTTAAGTAATTAGGTCCCTAAGAACCTTATTTAGAGCCTTAATAGATTAGTATATTAAATAAATCTCGTTAATATTAATCTTTTTTATAATATTGGTTTTAGTAATATTAATCTTAGTACTAACTTCCAATAGTTAAATTATATTATAAAGATTAAAATATCTTAATCTACGGTACTAAAGCTAAACTTTATCGTCGTACGTAACGAGTTTAGTAAATAATAATTTAAAAATAACGACCTTTTCGGTAGTTTTTAATTAAAAGTAGAAAAGTTTATTATATTATTTAGCATATCCGACTAGTTTTTTACTACTCTCGATAATAATCTACTCGGTATTTTATATTTTATAAAGTTTTCTTTTAATAACTAGTTACGAAAGTAATATAATATTATAACGTGCTTTAAATATAAAGGTAACTTTTATAAGGTTAAGAGGTCTCTTAGTCCCGTCTAAGCTTATTAGGACGAAACGAATATTACCTCCCCTTTTTATTTTTAAAGAAGCGTTCTTATTAATAAAGCTAATATTTATATTAATTAGTTATAGTATATTAAACTATTTTTTATTTTTAAATAGATAAATATCGGCGCCGGAGTTTAAAAAAACAATATCGGAGCTATTTAGATCTTGAGTTTAAAATATATTGTATTTTAATAGTCTATAAAAAAAACATTACCTTTTAGTAAACTTTTTTTTTTTTATATACTTTTTCCCTTAGCTCCCCCTATTTAATAATCTCCCTTTTACATTTTATCTAAAGTATCGCGTTAATAAAAGAACCTAAAATCGAGGGGTTAAAAAAAAGTAGCTTATTATCGAGATGTCTATTTAGACTAATAGAATTATTATAATTATCGTCGTTTAGATTCTTATCTATTACTATATTAATATCGGTATCTTTCTTTTTAATAAGGCTATTACTAATTTTAATAAGGGTCTATATAAAAAGCTTCGGAGCGCTTTTTATATTATAAAATACTTTTTATACTAATATATAAAATAAGAAATAAATCTCGACTATAATACTAAAAGGCTTGTTCGAAATATCGATTATTAAAATATATTAACCGTCGATTTAGTCCCGATTTTAAAAAACGATACGGCCGGTATTAATTATTTTGTATACTATTTTTTAAATTATTTTAATAAAGCGATGCGATGTAGGCTCTTATTACGAAAAATCGGGATTATTCGTAGTAATAATAGTTTAGGTAACGTTATTATTTATATCGTAGTTAATAGTGTATCTAAAGATAACTATAATTTCTTTATTATTACTAGTTATAGATCGGTAAAAGGAAAGAAAAGCCTTACCGTCGGTTATAATATAAAGTTCTTTAGGCTTAGATTTAGTAAAAAATAATAAGTTAACGGTCTTATCGTTTTTAGGACTTTCTTTATCTTTTTTAGCCTTCTACTATTTTTCCCTTAATGCTTTAGGTGCCTTTTTTAAATGATTATACTAGTATTCGTTTGCTTTATATCCTTACTTCCCGTAGCCGGAATATTATAATTATAACTTATCGCTATCCCTTTTTAACCGCCTAGATCCGTTTTAACCGCCGTTTTTATTACCTATATCCTAATTATTATTATTATTATTATAATTACGGTAGGATTTAATACTTTCTTTTTTTAAAAAAAGTCGGTTAAAGAGGAAATCTAGGTCTATTTTGTGGTCGGCTTATTAGGCTCGGATCTAATCGTATTAACTTTTAAAATTATTATAAGATCGTAATAGTCCGACAAGTAAATTTAATACTAACTGCCTATTTATATATATTTAACTTATAAAAGTAAGGTCGGCCTTAAATTATCGGTATTTATTAAGAAAATCGATTATACTATCGCTTCTTATAAGGCATAGCTTAGCGATTTTTTTAAAAAATTATTCTTAAATTAATTCCTTAGCGATTATATAACGACTTTTAATTTATTAAAACGCGTCGTAAGCGTTATTTATATTTTCGATTTCGGTAATAATTTTAAAACTAACTTATTTAAGGAGAAGGTTAAATATAAAGCGAGATTTTTTTTAATATTTTTCCTACTTCTTAACTTTTATTTATTATTTAATAAATGTTTAGGCGGGATCGGGGACTAGTTTAAATAATAATAACTTTTCGCTTCTAGATTCTAACCTTATAATTAGTCTTATATATATAAATGTAATATAGACGATATAAAAGTCCTCTTTAGGTTTAGAAATATGTTTTTTTTTTTATTTAGGACGGTTTAGATATTAAATACTTTAGTAGCTCGGTGGAAATCCTTTATTTATTCAAAATAATTAAATTTACTTTAAAATTATTTAATAATAAGAAGTTTTTTAGTAATTTTTATAGTAATAAAATATTTTATATAAAGATCGTGTTTAGTATTATATTTAAAATAGGATAGTATAGCGTAAGTAAAAAAAACGTCTTTTTTTAAAATAATTTCTTTTAATAACTTAAAAGAAGAGTTCTGGGCTTATAACTATTTATAATATAGGTTTAGTAGTTATCTATTGATGTGGATGAAGTAGGAGAAGATCCATCCTCTAAGAGGGATCTCTCTAGTGCCTTTATATGGGCCTATCTAACAAAGGGCTGCTGCCTCTAGCAGCCTACGTACCTGAACCTTCCAGAAGGGACAGGTGTCTTGGGGCACCTTTTTTTAACTAACTTCGAGGCATTCCCTCCTAAGGTTCCATGGGGGGTACAACGCCGGTTCAAAAGTCTAGTTACAGCAATAAATATTCCCTTACCAAAATCACGAATGCCGAGATACCCTTCTTTTCTTTATTATCTTAACTACGTATAATAACTTTAATAATTAAAAAAAAAAAATTAATAATTAAAAAAAGTAAAAACTTGATGTTTAAGAAGCTAACTTTATAAGTATATATAGTAAATTAACGTATATAAGTAGCTAATAACAAGGGGTGTTTAGGATTATTTACCGTAACCAGACTTTCAAACCCACGTTATCCAACAAGGTTCCTTGAAAGTGTGGCCAAGGGAGTTCTCACCGCCTGCCTAATCGGCAGCTCCCACCGTTCCCCTCCATGCAGTACCGCCCAGTCGCATCGCAAATTTTGATTTTCAGGCGGCCAATTGCTCACCTTCAGCGCATATCAGACGACTCCTCTTCCGTGCCGTCTCTATGCCCGCGGACGATTGACTGTGCATACTTCTTCTCTGTCTCTATACTTAGAGACAGTTGATCGGATTCAACCAGAGACCGACAATGAGCAGGCCGGAAAAGAAAACCAAAACCACAAAGCGCGAGGAGTATCGCAATGCGCGTAACCAGGATGGCATGGCTGAGCTGCCCAAAAAGAAGTTCTATCGTCAACGCGCTCATGCAAATCCCTTCTCGGACCATCAATTAGTCTAGTTGAGTCTCAATGGTCATACCGCCCTCTCGCCTCTACTCTCTCGCTAACCGCCACCGTCCCAATCACAGCCCAGCCAGCCCAGACTCCATGAATTGGACACAGTACTATCCCGCCTTCGCAGCCAATAACGAGACTCCTCCCACCGATCCCACAGTTACAGAAACCACAACTCTGGATGCCTCGAAGCCGAAAACGCGCAGTCTCAAGAAGGACGTGGAGGTCGTTGACATTGGCTGCGGCTTCGGAGGCTTGACCGTAGCACTGTCACCGATCCTCCCAGAGACCCTCATTCTCGGTATGTGGACTCTGCTAGCTTGAATTCGGTCAACCCGCTGACCTTTATCTCCTTCACAGGCCTCGAGATCCGGACCTCGGTTACGGAATATGTCCAGGAGCGTATCAAGGCTCTTAGAGCCCAAAATCAGGAGACTGGCGGGTACCAGAATATCAGCTGCCTGCGTGCCAATAGCATGAAGTTCCTCCCCAACTTTTTCAAAAAGGCACAGCTCTCAAAGATCTTCATCTGCTTCCCTGACCCGCATTTCAAAGCACGGAAACATAAGGCCAGAATCGTGTCCACGACACTCAATTCTGAGTATGCCTTTGCGCTGCGCCCGGGAGGCATCGTGTACACAATCACTGACGTCGAACCCCTACATCAGTGGATGGTTGGCCACTTCAACGCACATCCCTCATTCGAGCGCGTGCCTGAGGATGAACAGGAGGCGGACGAGTGTGTCAAGGTGATGGCGTCCGAGACGGAAGAGAGCAAGAAAGTGACGCGGAATCAAGGCCAGAAGCACATCGCGCTTTTCCGCAGGCTGGAAGATCCTCCATGGTGAATAATAAGGACTGGAGCAGAATGATGGCGGGATGACTCTCTGGTAAGAGAGATCTCGGTGCTAGGTCTCGAAAAGTTCAAACAATACCCCCTTCTTCTCGTAGTAGATTCACAAAGACAACTGGATTAGGTCTCAGTCTCAATGGCACTGTGATCATGCCAAGAAAGCGAATCAGGCCAAGCCCAGGCCAATCCACGCTTGGTCATGGTCATCTTACATTCAAGCTCGACGGTCGAATAAGTTATATCCTGCTTGTTTCGGCCGAAAAGCATCTCCTCACCGTAATTCCATGCTACAGCGATGATGCTCGGATAGTTGCATACCCACTCACACAGTGTACCAGGCGTGCCAGGCGTATGTAGGGCCCACCGAGACTCACGCTGCGGCCCGCAAGAATTCACCAAAAGTCGCTAAGCTCTCTCAGGTCAGTGCCTAAGGTACCTCACTATGTAAGTATAAAGCGAACATATGGCACACGGTACTTTCCACTATAAGGCAGCGGGCACGCCGGTAAGGGAATGTCAGGTACATTACATCGAGGTACATGCTCCCATCTTCCTTGCACCGGGAACAAGCGTCGAACGGCCACACCTCAATCATCCGCCATCCACCATCCACACGTGTCTATCGACCCGCACCCTCACGTCTCCTTGAATCGATAAGACCCAGCCAAGTCGACCTGTTCACCCCGTTCAATCTTCCCGACCCAGCAGCTCCCGAGAGTACCGCAAATTTCGACGACGTACAATGTAGCGACAACCCATCGCCCTTCGATACCGATCTGGATATGGCCCTGCAAGGAAGAGAACTGATCCTTGCCGCCATCACATGCTTCATAGCCTGGGGCTACGCCGTCAGCTGGGTCCCGGTCTTGAGATGGGTAGGATACGCCTTGGTCGGAGGGGGCATCTTGACCGTTGTCGCCTTGCTCACCCTCGTCCTCACTACGTCGCGTGGCTTCAGGCGCGGTTTGCGACACCGATCCCCGCGTCCAAATGGCCCTGCATTCCTCGCACCCAAGGCCTGGACCCAACAGGTCTCAAGCCTTCGAGCACGGCAGGCCTACTCGAAAGTTGCCCTCGACCCCAACTCCAGACGCATCTCCAAAGCCCTCGACGACCTCCTTGAACTCATCATACGAGACTTTGTCAGCTCTTGGTATTCCAATATCAGCAAGAACCCGGTGTTCTCCAATGAGGTCGATAAAGCTGTGCGCGATGCCCTCATCCACATCCGAGAGCGCCTCCTGGAGCTCGACCTCGTTGACATCGTCACAACACGAGTGGTTCCGTTATTGAACGCACATTTCCGTGATTTCTACGAGGCTGAGCGAGCTGTTCGAGGGAAGAAGCTCAATCGATCGGTGACGGAATCGGAGGAGCTGGATCTCGCAATTGCCTCTAAATACAAGGATGGGAAGCTTCACCCAGCAGCTTCATTGTCATTCCCCGACACGAAGCTTGTGCAACAAGATTATTTGCGAAACATGGTCTCTGGCATTCTGCCAAAAGTCCTACAGCCCAACGTGCTGGCCAGTCGAGCCGTCTCAAGCATCATTCGAGAGATCGTGGCTTGCGCTGTGCTGTTTCCCGTTATGCAAATCCTGGCTGAGCCCGATACCTGGAATCAAGTGATGGAAAACTATGGACGTTCGATGTTGCAAGATCGGTCGACAGTCCGGAAGTTAAGAGCGGCGTTGGATCAACATGCTTCTCCACTGCCAAGGTCCAGCAAGGCTGCCATTATACCCCGTCTCTCGCCCACCGACAGCGAGAGAAAGTTCGAAAAGTTTATCCGCGCAATACGGAAAGTCAGCAATCTCTCGGATGCTAGGCGGCTACGGAGCGAGGTTGCGAGCCAGCTGAAGCGGGACTCTCTAGAGGAAAACCAGGATCAGGTCTACCTCAGACGACTAGAGATGGGCAAGCGACTACTGGATCAGCGCGTTCAGCTTCTTGCCGTCGGCGGAAGTCGACAGACGTCTGCGACTTTACCCGCCCGTCCGTCCGGTGCTCCACAGGCACCCTCCAAGCTCGAGAACGCATCTCTCGTTGAACTGCTTCGGGATGCATCAGGCTTATCGTATTTCATGGAGTTTATGGACCGTCACCGCATGATGCCTCTGGTCCAATTTTGGCTAGTTGTTGACGGCTTCCGCAACCCTTTGGAGGATGAGGGTCAGGACGACGAGCATCTGCCGTCCAATTTGCCGATGTGGACAGATTCTGACCGTCTGGATTTGGCCCAGATTGACCACGCATATCTATCCAAGTCCGAACTGAAGGTTTCAAACGCTTCTCGAGATGAGGTCCGCGTTTTCCTGAGCGCTGGTAAGACAGCTACTCCTGAGCAGTACTACAGAGCTCGCAGAGCGATTTTGAGGGCTCAGGCAGCTGTTTTGGACGCAATGCAAGCCCAATACTTCCAGGCCTTCAAGAAGTCTGATCTCTTTTACAAGTGTCTGGCCGCACAAGAAGCATCAGCAACAAGCGCACCTCTCCCCGCTGCAGAGCCGTCGGCATCCACTCAAGGACATCCGCCGACGTATCGAAGCTCCCATTCTTTCCAATTCAAGCCTAATCCCGTCACCCGTATAGCCCCTAGGCTAACACGACCGCTGTCAAGGCGAGCTGGTTCAGTGTCGGATTTGGCCAGCCTAAGCCCAAACGGCAGCGGTTCTGAATCGCTTTCTAAGCAACGTCGCTCCTTCGAGGAAGACGCTTCAACCCCGCTGTTCGACGACGATGACTTCGATCAAGAGGGTATGATGGACTCGATCCAAAGCCTTGACCAGGACGCAGGCAAGCCTCCTGTGCCAGATACGAACGTGGTGCAAGCAATGGAAGAAGCTTTGAACAATATTATGGAGGACAATCGGCCGCAAACAGCCGAGGAGTTTAGAGAATCACTGTTTGGTGCGGATGATCAAGTCGACCGGTCAAGTCTGTTTTCTGGAGATAACGAATCCCTCCGCGGATCACTTGAAATGGCAAGGCCTGCACCTTCCTCCAAGGAGGTTGATAAACCAAGTCTGGCATCTCTGGGCCTTGTGAGTGCGGCATCTCGCATCGGAGTATTCGTGGATGACGATCTTTTCGGTGATGAGGACAAGTACCTCTCTGACGAACGAGATGATCCGGAAGAAGAGGCGAAAGGCGATGTGGAGGACGAGATCCAGGAGGCGGCTCCAGGCGATCTCGGACTAGCAGAAGCTATTACGGCTTTGTCTAATGACATCGACCGCCTCGTAGCACAAGATGCTATAGTCGAGTCACTGACGAAGAAGGCAGAGCTCACCAACAACACGGCGGAGCTTCGTATCCTGCGGAAATCCAAGGCGAGTCTGCAACGCGAGATCCGGCGCAAGGAACTTCAAAGGCAACAGTACGTTGTTCAGGAGAGCGACAACAGCCTGTACGGGCGGTCAACGATCAAGATCAAGGCCATACAAGTGGGCAGGGAAGACGATGGGAGGGAATTCGCTCTGTATGTGATTGAGGTACAAAGAGATGCTGGAGAGAAGATGCCAGCCGCGACGTGGATGGTCACTCGCCGATATAGCGAGTTCCACGAGTTGCACCAGAAACTTCGCTCAAGATATCCATCTGTTCGCAATCTTGAATTTCCCAGGCGAAGGATGGTCATGAAGTTCCAGAGTGAATTTCTTCGCAAGCGACGGACTGCCCTTGAGAAGTATCTCCGGGATCTCCTCGAGCTTCCAGAGGCTTGCAGGAGTCGGGACTTGCGAGCATTCTTGTCGCAAAGTGTGATAGCGCAAGGTCAAGATATTGTGGACCGCGAGGACAAGAAAGATATGATCACGAGGTTATACGACTCCGTTACGGATGGCATGGAAGACATCCTGGGCAACATTCCTGTTCTGGACCAGTTGTCTCTGGCTGGTCAGAATCTCATCGCGGCAGCCACAAACCAGCTGAATGCTATGCCACTGCCTGCTAACGAGGACGGTGTCGGCGCTGCTGAGGCTGAGGCTGAACTGAACGCTTTCGAGAACAAGGAGCTAGAGTCTTTCATCAAGCCTATCTGCGACATCTTCCTGGAAGTCTTTGAACTCAACCGAGGTAATAACTGGCTTAGGGGGCGTGCTGTGGTCGTTGTCCTTCAACAGCTGCTAGGCGGAACAATCGAGCGTAAGGTTCGAGACAACGTCAAGATGCTCGTACAAGAAGATGCCATCATTAGGTATATCGCCCTGCTCAGGGATAGCATGTGGCCCGGTGGGGAGATGAATAAGAATAAGCAACCCAGGACGGCATCGGAGAAGAAGAAGACGAGAACGGAAGCCAGCTTGATGTTGGCTACTCTTATACCCGACCTAGCAGGAAGCGTTGTCGGAAGAGTGAATGCTCAAGCAGCCAGCCGGCGTGTGTTTGCAACCTTTAATAATTCGAGGCTCAAGTAAGTTGTTCATCCAAAGCCAAGTTGCTGCTAGTTGTCACATTCCTAACAGGATATCTGTTCTCAGCGCACACCTAGCTTTTACATTCATGGATGAACTGATAGAAACTTTATTTGGCTAAGACGCCGTCTTTATGCGTCGTTTGTCAACTTGACACTCTTGGGTTGCCTTGACAGATGGCGCGGCATAAAGTCCGACATGCATCCATTCAGCCCAGCTCGGCACGTGTCAGGAATGATTATGAGGTTGCATGAGCAGGCGTCTGGTTTATGAATACTCAGTCGGAGACCGCACAGTGGTACAATAGGGAAGAGGAGGACGGGCCAAGAAGTGGCAAATAATTATGAAACGGCAAGAGATACGAGACTGAGCCCATCACGAGCTCCACGAGAATAGAAAGTTCACCAATGATCGCTGTTGTTCGAACACAGCTGGCCAACCGCATGAGGAAGCTGGGCAGAAACCCCCCACTGTCATCATTCGTAAGGCCAATGAAGCATAAGACACATAAGTCACTGGTGATTGAATTGAACGTATGGAGTCCGAGAGCCAGCACGCGCATGCGCAACTCCATTTGACTGAGGGTGTCAGTTGGCACTTGCCCATTACGCAGGGGTCATTGGATCTGAAGTCCCTGAACCGCGAGAGGGCAGTGGTCTCAATAAGCTTCTCCGTTGACAAGTAAGCAAGGTGGTGGGATTTCAGCGGAAAAGGAACAGCAGAGGTCCGCTCTGGTCACAGAACCAGGTTTTAAACGAACAAGGACGCCTTCGCTGGTTTGTGAGTTTCGAGGCCGGGCTGACCTAGGTTTCGGGTTTCAACTATCCCTGAGAGCTGACAGCTCGGTTGAGATTCCGATGATTAAAATAGACATCAAAATATGGATGTATTGGTCATTGAACGCTCGTTATGACTTGGGTCGGGTCAACTTCGGAACAGCTGCACCGCACATTGGAGTATCGAGCATCGAGAGAGCAACTGCTAGCTAATGGAGTATTATCAGATCGTGGACTAATTGGATGGCATGCGTGCGATTGACTCTCTCTACATTGCCATCCCTGATTTGCCACGGGTAGCTGTTGCGGGACAGAGGTGGAGAGTGGTGCGAAGGTGACCTGAGGTTGGTCGCACAAGTTCCAGAGTATTATCAGGTGGAGTCAGCGTGCTGTGAGGTGCTGTCTTGGCACACTTGGCTCCTTGCCATTGCATCTTCCGATTTCCCTCATGGCCATGTTAATCTCGGTTTGGGTTTTCGAATGTGGCCACGAATTGGACGTGTCCTGGAGTCTAACGCCCTATTGCGGGTTCGTGAAACGGACGAGTGCTGGGCTTGGATACCAGATGCAGCGGGTCGTACGGGAAAAGGGGTGGTACCGATCTGGCGACGAGGTCGGCCTTGTGTCTCTCTCTGTGCTGAGACTTTCTGTAGTTACCGAACGAGAACCCTGACGTGTTCAGTCTGTCATCAACATCAATATGTCGTACCCAAGGTCCAACGTCCCGCAATGCAGGACGATGTTGGGATATAAATGGAGCTGGTTGTCTTTGAGATCTCACTTATTCCCTCCCCCATTATTTTGGTACGTACGGGAGGGGGTTGAAGTTGCGCCACCGGCTCGGACGTTTGAAGCCATAGAAGAAGAAATATAAGGCCTGGAAAGAAGAAGGAGGAGGAGGAGGACGGGAGAAGAAGCGCTACAGCGACCGTTGGAGTTAATCACAAGTTACGGATCTGCAGAGTGTGTCAATAACCGCCTGCATGAGCCGAGCCAGCCTGGGACACCTTTTTGGCTGCGATCAACGACTATAGACTCATAGAGTGTATCTACTGCAAACCATTTTTGTCGTCCAAGGCACCACAGTAACGGCAGCTATATCACCGAGCTCCTTGACGCACATACGGCCGTCTCGTGTTGGTTCTATTGTTGAGAAGCTATACGGAAGCTGACAGCCCTCATACCTAGGCCATAAGATTCCTGACACGATAGACTCGTGGAGCCGGGTGGAATTTTGTTTCAGAGCCCTTGGGCGTGATATTCTCCTTTCATAGAGGTCCAGATACCTGAGCCGGGTGAGAGCGATGTATCTAACTGGTGGTACAAAATAGCAAGGCACCATTTTAGAGCTCAAATGCCAGACGAACGAAAGGCTTTGGAGGCTTCAGGCTTCATACAAAGGATTTCATAAAGTATGAAGCTATATGATAACTTGAGGGCTCATGTATTAGAGCTTTGTAAGTAAATAAGTATTTTGAGGGACTGAGGGAGACCAGATATTCGGTGTTCTGCTACCTTAACTTAAGCTAATGTACCGAGGTACCTCAGGTTCCCACCATGCCTACCTTAGGTTGTCAGGTACGGACTGGGATCACGAGCTGAGGAGCCTAGATCACACGCGATCATTGGCCGATGCCACCTTTAGTCCGGGGGGCAGGCGCTCCCCTTAAAGGTACCTTGGGGCCAGAAACAGAAGGCCGCAGCTGGGCTGGCGACCCATCACGCCCAGATTTAGTGTCTCCTCTGCGCCTCCCCTCCAGGCCCATGTCTGTTTCTCTTTTTCGCTCCACCCTCCATCTGTCGAACTCATAGCTCCTGGTGTTTTCCGTGCTCCTTCTTCTTTTTTTATTGAAGAAGGGAAAAAAAAAGCCAAGCTTCCTCTCCTCCCCTTCTTGCTACCTAGTTGGTTCGCAAGGAACATAAGGTACCCGCCTTATGTACCGCGGTACCTCAAAGAAGTGAGGAGCCTCACCCGCCTCTTAGCTACCTGAGGTACGGATGCCGAGTAATATCAAATACCTTTGCCTGAACACCTTCCTCTCTCACCTTGTCCCATTCTCCTCAAACCACCATAACCACAACCATTCCCAAACCCCCTCCTCCTCCTCCTCCTCCTCCTCCTCCCCCCCCCCCCCCCCCCTCCCCCCCCCCCCCCCCCCCCCCCCCCCCCCTCCCCCCCCCCCCCCCCCCCCCCCCCTCCCCCCCCCCTCCCCACCAAATACCTCCTCTTTTTCCCCTCTCGCACCCAGCCCCCCCCCCGTCCACGCTCCCCCCGGGGGGGGGGGCCGGTGCCGGCGGGCTGTGTGTCGGTGTCGTGGTGAGACGTTGATTGGCTCGCGCGGTGCTGTAGAGGTTTCGAGGGGTGTGGGCAGCCGCCTGAGGTCGTCGGAGCTGGGGTACGGAGATGTGCGTAGGATAGGGAGGGACGAAGCCTCACGCTGCGGCGGGAGGTACGGGTGCGCCCTGTAGGGAGAGGTTGGGGAGTATGGGAGCAAGGGGCGG